AATTATTGTATGGTCAACAGACATTGAAACCACAARGGGCTAGTCTCGAGTATGGGCTAGGAACCGACTWAYCAATATCAGCTCATAAATACACTGCTATTATGAATTGTTTTCYAAGCTTGTTATCGGCTTCWGTCTGAACGTACCAATTCGATCACGAAACTGCTTTCGGGAAATAGAATGGAAAATACAAAACAGAAACAACTACAAAAGGATTAAATTTAATAATATAATTACTTCATATTTCTCAGTAAGTCTTCATGCAAATCTTCTGTGGTTTTCTCCCCGTTGTGAACACACCGCCCGAGCGTTTATTGCCACTAACAGTGGTGTAGGTGGGCCACACCCTTGGAAGGGTCAGTGGTGGTTATATGAGTACGAATGAGGAACACCTTACAAGCATGACAACAAACTAGCATTTTTAATAGCACATTTCACCACATATACATTACATGCAAAACAAACCTGACAATCACGAAATGCCTATAATCTAAATACTCGTTACACTGAAATTTAATGAAACTATAAGTTAAAATCCCCCGTACACATAACTCGAATCTTGATAAAAACGTTGTATATTCTGTATACCGTTATTCCCTTTGGAACTTTTTACCTTCATTGCAAATAGTCCAGGCTTACTTGCTTTCTTTAGTTTGATATTTGAACATATTCTAAGCTTGTATAGAAATCCGGCGCCGTCTATCTTTCTTTTCCATTKCTGCATAAAGAGAATGTTCCATTGACACAATGTTCCAACAATTTGTTTTCTGTTGCTTATTGAGATGTTAGCATGGGATGTTGGTTTGAGAAAKCAAAGTTGCAATGCACTAGCGTTCAATAAGCTGTTGAAGGACGAAGTTGGGCTGATAGGAGAATAAGTCAGACTTCCATAGTCCAGTGAAAAATTGCATACTAACGCGGTCAYAAGCGAAGAATCAGCAGGGGACRTTGAATTGGGATCCAAGGTTATTTTAGAGARGCGTCTAGTCATTAAGGTGTTGACAGGGAAAGTAAAACTTTCCTAAGAATTCATTATAGTCAAAGAGAGCTTTGAAATAGACGGTCGCAACAGTTCTTTGTATCCTTTCAATCTGATCCCGTAGAATTGGTAAGACTTTTAAGAGAAAATACTGTCATCTKAAACTCCCAGGCTTAAAACAGCAATTCTTTGAAGACTTTCTCTCTGTTTCACGTATTTGGCAATCCATTCAAAACCGTTCTCTAGTTTGACTTTCTGCTTTAAACTCGTTGAGAGAGATTGAATAAATAATATGCCATCTGTCCCTGATGTCACGACTTGACGGCTTTTTTTCTTGACTCGTTGATTTCATGCCATCGAGWTTTGTTTCTTTCRGCTCCGTCTGCGAGTGGTTCAAGTTTTTTGTTAACCTTGGAAAGAACCTGAGGAATWATCGAAATTAACATATGACWAACGATGTTTTGGCAGGAATGAGTAATGTTAAAGTTACATYCTCAGTAGMAAACAAAAATGCTGATCAAGTCAAAAACCACAACACGACCYATATCTWGAATACCTTAAAAACTGGGATTCCTGTCGATTCGAAGAATTGAACTTGCATTTTCGGAAGTTCGTCGATTCTTTGTCGATCCATAATCGCCTAAAATTTTCACAAGRACGTTACAAATGATAAATAATGAAATTTTAAAATTGAGTCTTGATAACAAAAATATACCGACTTACTACAAACAAAGAATAAAACAAAGAAACATGATCCCATAACTAACTAATCAACACAACAACGCGTACTACCTACAATGTATCTAAAACTAAAACATAACCAATCTACCAAAATACACTATTAYCTACTGACAAACCAACAAACTAACGCAACCAACCCGGCAAACGAAATTATCGCGGATTTCCAATCAACTTACCATTGGTTCTACATTAAGCCTCTCTCGCTCKATATCACCTTGTTCGAAAAATTCCCGAGTTACAAGATTAACGACCTGAAATAGAAACATTTAAATCGATCAAAAGTTCTGGAAGACCATAACTTKAGCAATATAACRWGTCCAAACAAGGGTCTTGACTACCCTTTTCCGCAAGCAACGACTACATGGGATTCCTGTGTTAAGGCAAAAAAATCTCCCGATGCTGTTGATGATGCTGATGCTTAATCTCTCTATGACAGTCCCTCTCGGTCAAGATGATCAACACAGGTATCTGTTTTCGTTTAGTGCGAGGGATGGCCTGTCACAAGCAAAACCCACGGCCAGAAAAAGTTTAGTGTTTTGTGAAACATACTTCTCTCTGAATATCCCATGGTTTTGTGGTTCCATTCAGATCACAAGCAGTCATCATCATCGCTCTAAACATAAGAATATTGAACCAAATAATCAGCAACAACAACAACAACTACTACAACAATAACTGCAAACAAAAAAGCTTACTTTAGCATGTCCCTGTGGTCCATATTATTAGGATCAAACTGTTCATTATCAACTAGAGAGAAAAACCTGGGCCTCTGTCTGTTGATGAAAAAAAGATCGTTTAGGCTCAAAAGATAGCTGATACCTAATACGAAAATAGACGAGATACGATTCGAATGTTTTTAAAAAGTAATATGTCAATCAATCAATCAATCAATGAATCAGTTTGTCAGGTAACCAATCACAATTTCATGTCCCAGTCAATCATTCAACCAATCAATTGTTCATCTATCRAATTATGTCTTCCTTCGCTTATCTATTCTGTCAATCACACATTGAGCTTGTTAAATCACACAATCACGTGACCACACGTTGAGAGCGACGATAAATCATTAGACTTACTTGAAATTAACAGCAAGGTCGGTCGATAGAATCGAATGTTTAATATAGCTAATTACTTGTCTATATTCGTCGGCTGATAGACGTTGGAAGATATTGTGACCCTAGAAATAACATGGCAATGATAATTAGATCGTTAACCAGTATCGAAGACCCAACACAGAACAACACTCACTACAAGAACTCCATATAGAGACGCTTTGCAAATGGTTAATATGCAAAAAGCTAAGTGTCTCCGGCCTATGTTTTTGAAGCCATGAGTTTGGGTGCGGTGTCTCAGTTCAAGAAGGGACTCAAAGAGGGATATTCTGCGATCACAGTAATGGGAAAAGTTTTATTACCTCAGTACTCAGAATAATGACAGCATGATTAAAATGATGATGTTCCATAGTTGACGTCCCATAAAGCTTCGACAGAGGAGTATCGGTCCTACAAACACAATTATAAATATGGAATTAATGTTGTACATAATCATACAGAAACTACCGTGTTCATGTGTGCCAACGAGGTGGAAAATACTCTCCAGCCAACATAGACTGGGTTAGATCTTGAACGAGAGGGGAGAGAGTACATACTTATCAATGCATAGTAACTTACTTAGCTTGGAACGCATTGTTGGTCCCCCTGTGGTCAAGATCGTGACAGAGACAGCCAACGATAAGTCCTAAACACTCTAGCTTTGTAAGATAACTTTTCATATCTCCTGTCTGATAAAAACGAATAAACTTTAATTCAAGTTAACAAATTATAAAACTCACTGTGTAACGGTACCTGCAGCATTGCAAACATGGATTGCGCGACATTAAATGCGTGACGCCAGTTGTGGTAGATGACGTTACGGTAATTGTTCTTGACTGTTAATATCCATCTACCAAGAGTCTGTTGAATAAGAGAGTGTAAAGAAACATGATGATCACTCGCAAACAAGTATAAATGTAAACTAGGGTAGGCCTCATCATAACGACAAAGGGTCGGTTACGAATCGAGACTTGAGTAGGCCAAGCCCTCCAGTGCGTTTTGCATTCAACTTGACTAACATCGAAGGAGGACAAGTGTCCAAACCGACAGTACGTTTTCTACATTTATTCAGCATATAATTCATCACTTTATCACAACTATTTCGTTGCAAACACCGAAGCTCTTCAGCGTAACAACAGCTGGTGGTGGAGAGAAGTATCTGATTTGTTTTTATTTACGATTTCATAACAGACGTTTCGCTCGATACATCGACCTTTATCAGTGTACAAGAATACTATAAATATTTTATCTTCAGTTGTCAAGATAAAAATGATCATTACGTCATTATGTTGGATAACATGGATAATTATCTGAATAAAGTGTTTTACATACATATAAATACCTCATAATCAATGTGAAAYTCCTCGATAAAACCACTATCTTGAAACATTCTAATAGAAGCTATTAACATTTCATCTGCAGCAAGTGAAAAGTCATCGAAAGTAAAACTAAACAAGTTGATTTCTTCAGCTGTTGGGATTCGCGACGTCTAAAGAAACAAACAAAACACATTTATTGCTAAAGCAGTTTTTGACCTAAGACAACGAATTCGACTTCACTAGTCATGTGACTTTGGGTTACTGAGCATGCTCATATGATATGACCAAATATCCCACATTGCTGGACAACTTACCACTATTTTTTCGACCTCAGACTTTTTTGCAGCAACATGATAGGAAAGAACCTGTAAAATTTAGATTGATCTAGTAAGTACTTTAAGTATTACTAGCTGCACATATAATATATAGATATTTTACAATCTGTACCTCTATTGCAACTTGCTGCTTGGCCTTGGCTCGAGCCATCTGATCGTAGATCATGGTGTTGTGGATTCCAAGACCACAGAAAATAGCAAAAGCCTGCGAGATTGATCWGAGATTTTACTAAACTATAATGAACACATGAAAACATTATACAGTTTAGCAATAAGTTGCACCGTCTTGGGCAAGAATCAGACGRAAAAACTACGATATTAGATGTACAATAAAGATACTAAAACTAGAAAATGTCTTCCGTTAACCTCCTTTATGGCTAGTACTAACTTTATTACTATGTGGATTGTATTCCGAGGTGCCGATTGCATGTACGATTTGAGCAGAGTTTTTAAACTCTGCTCAAATACTAAAAAGTCCAAGAAACCAGAGGCACCAAGAAAGAAAATCTGATGGAAGTTGACATCGCATGGAAACTGATGAAAAGTCTAGAAAGGTTTTCACGAAAACTATTAAACCTGTTGCGCTTTTTAATGGAAACAATTTGTAAGTTGCAAATGTCGGCAATAAGCTGTAGTTTCTCAAAAGTAATGATTTGGTTATATTTACTAGGAATAAGTCAATACCTCGAATAAAGTCTCRTCGTTCTCATCAAAAGGTTTCTTGTCCAATCTGTTAATAACTTCAGCAACTCCTATGACAWAACAAAAACTAATTTTACAACCTCAACAACCAACATCAAGAAACTTTTTTTCTTCATGGCTCTTCATGGATGTTACTTTTACTTTTTAATATACTCTAAAATCGATACTTCTCCTCCACTAAAAAAATTGCCTGGCCAAAGTAATAATGGCCACTCAGGCTCGGTTCTCTATTAKTTCTWGTTTATGTACCAGTCTACTTTGCTCCTATTGGTCTACTTTCTTGCTCCTCTAATYATATAATCTCACGCTTAGCCTAATCTCATCTCTTTACTCCGACGAAGGATTAACGTCCGAAACTTCAGTAAGTTGTTTCACCTACTTTTTTACGGTGTTAAATTCATAACTGTTTCTTTAGAAACACCGACGCAGCTCAAACTAGTTTACCGCTAGTTCCCACCATTTTTACTAGTTTATGTATACAACCTTACCGATAATTTCAAACTTGTTATTTCTGATTGGCATGCATAATATGGATGTGAAATCTTTCTTGTCACCATCAGAGGAATCGGAAAGCTGTAGAGTAAATAATCGTGTTAGTTCAGTTGGTTCAAGTTGTTAGTCTAAGATATGACTTCAACACCAGTAAACGGAGTATTTCATATTGGATTGGATGGTTATGTTTACAAACCTGCAGCCAGGACACATGTCAAGTAAAAATTARTATTGGAGCTTTTTTACACCTTATATATTTATTTTTTATTCTTTTATTTCTTTCCTTTTAGTTAATCACACAATCACACACTTGATTTAATTTCCCACTAATTACAAACTGTCCAAATTGCGTATTAAAATGAAATTTTCGAAAACTTCCCACCATTAGATAATAATGGTGAAGTTTCTAGAATTATAATCTTAAGCAGAATCAATGGTGATCAAATATTTGCTTTGTTTGAAAGCTTTTTGTYTTACATTGCTGAGTACTACTAGTGGTTGCCACGACTTTTAATATCCCTACAATCCCCACTGCCTCTTTTGAACAAAAAAAACACACTTAAGTATTTAATATCAATTGAAAATAACTAAAAAAAGACTTATAGCAAAAATAAATATTCATGTACTATACTAATCTAAGGACTTACAATTTTTCTGACTCGCACATCTTGAAGAGCTTCAGGGATAATTATAGTCTACAAARAATAAAAGATGAAATTGTTACGTACTGTGCAATCCTCCTACTATTAAACTATATTGCAGATGTCAGTATGCACCAATACCTTTCCAACGGCAGAGACAAATTTAGCAATCCGACTTGTGAAGGACCTGTCATCATGACCCTCACTGTACCTACAATAAAAGGATTATAAATATTATCGAATTTGAAAAGAAGGGCAAGTACATGAAAGCACTTACGTTGTACTTCCGGGGTTCTTTTGAGATGTGACCTTTAGGTTGAAAACACTAGAAAACCTGAGTTCCTATCAAATTTCAAACATTTCACTTAATTAGATTCCAGTTATATTTGTGCTTGTCTTATTAAAACTATCAACATTGCCAGGACTGTTCTTAAAATGTAAAATTTGCATAGAATATATTTAGTACCACATTGTGTATGTACAATTGCTATGCTGTCCTGCCTTATACCTATAATATACACCCTTTTAATAAGTCCTGAGGTATTGTGTTCTCTGCACTTGATGTCAAATTTATTCTGTTGAATTCCTTTTGTATTGTAAAAAATTCAAACAAATAAATTTGACGTCAAGTGCGGATAACAAAATACCTTATTAAAATGGTGTATAGAGGTACCCATTGAAAATATCATCATAATGTAGGAAGCTTTGCACTATACAAAGCAAAGTTAAGATCCAATGATTAATAACTCATAATAACCTCTATATCAATGTACACCTCTATATCAATCCCAGATCCAGTTGTTTGATACTAGGATTTTTCCCAATGTGTTCAATTCCTTTTTCTAAAACCTGACTAATCTAAAGATTTTCTGTCAGTAAACACAAAAATTACCTGCGCACGATGTTCAGCTGAACTGTTGCCTAACACTGGTTGAGCAAGAAGCAACACAGAGCATTTCTCACATTTCAGCAATCCCAAAGCACGCTTCATAATTTTATGTACAACTTTTTCAAGTGAAGTTTGCTCCTCAAATATGTCATGAACTAGTTCTAGCAATGCCTGCAAAACAAGTAGCAATTGTAAGACAAATATATTCACAAAATAATAAGGTTGGATCTATGGGGTATTTAGCAGCTCTTTCCTTCAATACAAATATTGCCTAGGCTTGCATTTTATGATCAACATTCCTTACTTACCCTATTTCTGTTAAACTCTATTGCTGATAATTCAAAAAGCTTGGCATTTGTAATTCCTATTCCGCAAAATGTCAGATACATGTCACAGACCTRGAAATGAAGATAAATGAATGAACCTCACACAAATCTCTAGCATGTATTTATCATGCCAGTTTGCAGTGTTATAGTTCAACAAKCTGCCTCAAAAMAATGTGGGACTAGTACTTYCCAAAATTAAGGGCAGAGAGCATGATAGCTATCACATGACCTGTGTTTGARGCTCTGASCATGSAAAGGTAATGCCGAAGCTGTCACTCAGTTTATTCCAGTACTCACCTTTTCATCTTCTTTTGTAAATGGTACCCCTCCAGGATTCTTGTTTATTATCTGTGCCACTCCAACAACCTTTTAAACAATAAATCATTTACTGTTAAATGAATAATGCTGTAATTAGAATTACAATGAAGTTGTGATCAACTAATGGATCAATCATCATGGAGGAAATGTGTCTACAGTGTCTATGGCATTGTGGTAATRGCCATTTTTATGAGGTATYRCTGATGATCATAACTTTTGAGGCAGTGCAGATTTGCAAGCCATGCAATATGCAATATTTACAGTTTTAAGATGGAAGAAGGTGGGACAAAATTTCAAAGTGCAAATTACCTAACCACCACTAATCATCATCAACTAAACAATCAGAGAATCAACTGAAATAATTAATCAACCAAATAAAGACCTCTCATAATAAATAAATAAATAAATAAATAAATAAATAAATAAATAAATAAATA